AGATGCTAAAATCCTCAACAAAATATTAGCAAATTGGATCCAGCAATATACTAAAAAGATCATTTAGTTTGACCATGTGAAATTGATTCCAGGAATGCAAGACAAGTACAATATTTGCAAATCAATAAACATTAAACATCACATAAACAAATTGAAAGAGAAAAATCACATCATCATATCAATGATGCAGAAAAAGCATTCAACAAAATTTAACACCCAATTTTTATAATATTTTTTTATTGATTTCAGAAAGAGGAAAGGAGGGGGAGAGAGAGTTAGAAATTTAAATGATGATAGAATCATTGATGGAATGCTTCTTGTATGCCCCAAACTGGGACTCAAACCCACAACCTAGGCATTAATAAATAAATTATATATATATATTCCTGATGGGGAATCGAACTGTGACCTCCTGGTTCATAGGTCAAAGCTCAGCCACTGAGCCATGCCGGCCAAGCCCAACACCCATTTTTGATAAAAAAAAAAAAAAAAAAAAAAAAAAAACTTTTAGCAAAGTGGGAATAATGTGATCATATCTCAATATAATAAAGGCCATATATGACAAACCTATAGCCAACATCATACTCAATGGGCAAAACTAAAACCATTTCCCCTAACAGGAATAAGACAGTGATGTTTGCTTTCACCACTCTTAGTGAACATAGTACTGGAAGTCTTAGCCACAGCGATCACACAAGAAAAAGAAGAGAGAAAAAAAGGCATCCAGATTAGAAAGGAGTAAGTAAAACTCTAATTATTCTCAAATGGCATGATACTGTACATAGAAAACCCTAAAGACTACAAAAAAAAACTATTAGGTTTAATAAAGGACTTGGCAATGTAGCAGAATATAAAATTAATACCCCAAAATTGATGGCATTTTTATGAATTCTTAGAAAGAGAAACTAAACAAGCAGTCCCATTTATCACTGCAAAAAAAAATTTAATATGCTTAGGAATAAACTTAAAGAAGTAAAAGACTTATACTCAGAAAACTTCAGGAAGTTGATGAAAGAGATAAAAGATATAAACAATGGAAGAATATACTGTGTTCATGAATTGAAAGAATTAACATAATTAAAATGTCCATCTATAGATTCAATGCAATCCCTATTAAAATACCTTTTAAAAAGCAACAGCATATTTCAGAGATCTAGAATAAATACTCCAAAAATTTATATGGAACCAAAAAAGCCCCAAAATAGCTGCAGTAATCTTGAGAAAGAACAAAGTTGGAGAGATCACAATAACAGATATCAGATTTTACTACAAAGCTACCATAATCAAAACAGCCTGGTACTTTCACAAGAACAGTCAGATAGATCAATGGAACAGAACAGAGACCCCAGAAATTTACCCAAACCATTATTCTCAATTAATATTAGACAATGGGGTCAAGGCAGTCTCTTTAATAAATGGTGTTGGGATAACTGGATATGTACATGCAAAAAAAAAAAACTAGATGACCAATTTACACCATTCATAAGAATAAACTCAAAATGGATAAAAGACTTAAAATGTAAATCTTGATAATATAAAAATCTTAGAAGAAACCATAGGCAGCAAAATCTCAGATATCTGTTGTAGCAGTATGTTTGCAGATACATCTCCTAGGGCAAAGGAGGATATAAGCAAATGGGACTACATCAAAATAAAAAGTTCAGAGCAAAGGAAACCAACATGAAAAGGGAGCCAACTATATGGAAGAACATACTGGGCAATGATACATCTGGTAAAGAGTTAATATCCAAAGTATATAAGGAACTCATACAACTTAACAAAAAGAAGACAAACAATCCAATTAAAAACTGGGCAAAGGACCTAAATAGACACTTCTCCAAAGGAGACATACAGAAGGCCAAGAAACATATGAAAAAAAATGCTCAGAGTCACTGATCATTAGAGAGATGAAAATCAAAATGACAATGAGATATCACCTCACACCTGTCAGAATGACTACCATCAACAAATCAACAAATGGCAAGTGCTAAAGAGTATGTGGAAAAAAGGGAATCCTAGTACACTGCTGGTAGTAATGCAGACTGGTGGAAAACAGTATAGTTTCCTCAAAAAAAAAAATGGAAATACCATTTGATCCAGTTATCCCACTTCTAGGAGTATTTCCTAAGAAACCAGAAACATTAATCAGAAAAAATGAATGCAACCCTGTGTTCATAGCAGCACAATTTACAATAGCTAAGATCTGGAAACAGCCCAAGTGCCCATCAGTAGATGAGTGGATAAGAAAGCTGTGGTACATTTATACCATGGACTACTATGCAGCAGTAAAAAAGGATATCTCACTCTTTGAAATAGCATGGAGGGACCTGGAGAGTACTATGCTAAGAGAAATAAGCCAGTCAGAGAAAGACAAGTATCACATGATCTCACTCATATGTGGAATCTAATGAACCAAATACAATGATGAACAAAATGGATCCAGAGATACAGAAGATGGAACAGACTGTCGAATCTCAGGGAAGACAGTGAAGGGTGGGTGGGTGGGAAGAGATCAGTCAAAAAACATGTATGTATATATGCATAATCCATGGACACAGACAATAGGGGCAGGCCAGAAGAGGTCAATGGAGGTGAAAAAAAGGGACATGTGTAATACCTTCAACAATAAAGATTTAGAAAAGAAAAACAACATAATACTCAGGCATATTTCAGAATGGTTTTTCTTTCCTTCCTCTGCCAGGAGCATAAAGCAATTTTTTTTTCAGATATTCACTGTGAGGAATTCATAAAAATCCTGCAGGTAAAATTCAGGAAAATGCCCCCCATTCCTGATGATAGGATCTTCTTAGTCTTTAGCTCTCAAGACTTGTCCATTCTGAGCTTTCAGCAATTATTCATCATCTGTACTTGAGGTTTCCCTAACTAAGCACTGTTTCCCCTGGAGATGTTTGCTCCTTTAATTGAGATTATTGTGTCCACCTGTCTGCCCCTCCAATATTTGGGGCAGCAGTTTGCCCTGTGACCTCACTTTTCTGATGGATTTAAGAAGAGTTCCAGATTCTTTAGTCTGTTCAACTTCTTACTTGTTATAATGAAATAGTGATTCCTAGGGTACTGATGTGCTAGACTGGAAATAGGAAGTCCTCCAAACAACTCTGTTTTCATAATAATATTTCTTTGGTTTATATAGTATTTAATTAAGTGATATATAAATAAGTATGATTTAGGATTAAGGAATTGACTTAGTAAATATGTGGCTCAAATCATGAGAGTAAAAATAGATGAGGATATCAGAAACTAAACTATTCGTTGAGAGTATTTAGTGTGCTATGGGCATTATTTAAGTCAAGAATTGTTACAGAAGGAATAGAGCATTGACAAACCCAGCAAGTTAGTTGAATGGAGATCAACTAAGAGAAGTTATACATATGTTCATGTGGCTGAACAATAATCCAGTCTGTTATAGCATCTCTTAAAAAACTAACCATAAACTACAAAAGGATCTATGTATTGATACTACTAAAATAAATGAACAAATATAAATGATCAAATGAATACATAAGGGAATCAAGAATTTAGATAACAGGTTAATTGTCCATGAAAGCAGTAGAAAATGTCAAAATTTTTCCTCTTAACACTTAGAAACAATATTAAAAAGAGCTAAAAATAATATAACAGGTGAAAGATAGAAAAAAAAAAAAGAAAGTGGGTTCTCTAGATTTTAGGTGGAGAATGGGGAATAAAGCATATTAGAGTTTTATTATGTAAGAAGAGAGGCCTGGCGTATGAAATTCGTGCACTGAGGGGGTGTCTTTAGCCCAGCCTGCACACTCTCCAATCTGGGATTCCTTGGGGGATGTCTGATTGTCGATTTAGGCCCGATCCCACAGTTGGATATCCCTCTCACAGTCTGGGACTGTTGGCTCCCAACTGCTCGCCTGCCTGCCTGATTGCCCCTAACTGCTTCTGCCAGCCAGCCTGATCATCCCCTAACCACTCCCCTGCCAGCCTGATCAACACCTAACTTATCCCTTGCCAGCCCAATCACCCCCAACTGCCATCCCCTGCATGCCTGTCTCCCCACAACTGCTCTCTCTCCCCTGCAAGCTCGGTTGCCCCCAACTGCCCTCCCCTTTCAGCCTGGTCACCCCAACTGCCCTCTCCTGCTGGCCCGGTCACCCTAACTGCCCTCCCCTGCAGTCCTGGTTGCCCCTAACTACCCTTCCCTTCAGGCTTCATCCCTCCCAACTGCCCTCCCCTACAGGCCTTGTCCCTCCCAACTGACCTTCCCTGTAGGCCTGGTCTCCCCCAATTGCCCTCCCCTGCCAGCCCGGTCACCCTTAACTGCTTGCCCCTGCTAGCCTTATGGCCCTCAACTTCCCTCCCCTGCTGGCCATTTTGTGGTGGCCATCTTTTTGCCCACATGGGGGTGACCATCTTGTGCAAGGGTGTGATAGTCAATTTGCATATTACCTCTTAATTATATAGGATAGTTACAATACACACAGATGCCATTCCATTATTTGTTGGCAATTGCCCACCTCAAACATCCCAGACAAGTTGGATTGTTAAAAATGCTACAGAATGATTTTCTACTTTACTCTCACTCTCAAGAGGCTTTCCCTTCATTCTAATGAAAATTCCCTTTGTTACTGTTTGATAGTGGCAGGAAATTGGGCCAAATAAACTCTTAAATGCATTTCAACTTTAAGATCTCAAAAGTTATAATTTTTCTGTTTATAGTATAACGTCTAAAATAGGTGCTTTTATTTCCCCAAATGAGCCAGATTCTGTCAATGATTTCCTGAGGTTAAACTATGGAGTCGGGAGGGAGCTCTGTGTCTGTGAGACTTTGTGTATAGACTTGTTTATTCTTCAACTATAGAAACTATTCTTGCCTAGTCAGCTAGCCAAGCTAAAAGTATTTTCCTGAAAATGTACATATAACTAACAAGTATTATAACACTGTTATTTTTATAATTACTCCATATTAGAAAAGTCCCCAGTTTAATAATTTAATTTTATATTATTTATTACAGGACAGGATAAGAGAAAATTATAGCAATTGCCTGAATAATGAACCTAACTTTTTTAAAAAGCATTCATGTGATGATGATAAGGTAATGATAATTATTTGGAGTTTATATGTCATTCGAGCTTGATTTCATAGAAGCTTATATGATTTTGTATCTGTTAGATAATTATATTGATTATATTAATAACTTATTTTTTTAGCTATAAGCAGGCAATTTCCACTGATCTATTAAGTTATACTGTGGTGTTCTTCTATACTCTTATTTTACAAATAGTTCTTCTCTTATTTGATAAATATGTTTACTTTAGCATTTCCTTTTTCACTTATAAAATGCTAGAACTGCTGAATTCAAAGAGACACACATCTCTTATTTGTGAAATCTTTATGAAGGAAAATGCTTGGGGCATAATTTAGTTGTAGGCATTTAGAAATTGGTTTGTTTTTTTTAATATTTGCTAATCTTCACACCACTACAACTTATAGTTGGTGTAAAACTTTCATCAAACACTTGTGTGATTTCTTTCCACAAAAACCAGTGTGGTATTATTTAACAGTCTTTTAAAAAAATAATAGTTGACTTACCTTATGGCATCTAATAATCTATAGTCATAAATTCTTATTTTAAAAATTTCTATAATTACAGTGTGATTTGTTTTAGGTAAATCTGACTCTTTGTTTTCCAGCTACTCATCCACAGCTAAAAATGTACAACATAATAACAACAAGAAAGCCACACATACCTTTCATTATCGCTGCTTCCAGGAGACCTCTCCCTTGGTTATCTTGCTTAAAATTAAATAAACTTGTTATGTGTCCACCCACAAGTGATAAGATCACACATACATTACAGAGAAAGAGAATCTTAAAAGCTAATCATTAAACTGAGGTCCAGGCCCTTCAGGCTGTCAGCTTCTAGGCCACAGTGTCAGTCCAGGTACTTGTCAGTCATGTGATTAACTGGAAAAGAAAGGTGGGTGGAGGTGGGAGTCTTGCTTAGCAACCAGGTTCTGGCATTAGGATCCGTAAGAAAGCTTTTCATTTCATAATATTTTATTTGAACCACAGCCCTTCTGATTTTTTTTCTGTACTAGGAAGCTACGTTTTTAAAAACTGCTGCTCGCAAGTTGAAGCAATTTCTTAGAATGAATATCCATGAGGAATTCAAGACCCACTTACAAATAGTTTCACAGGGCACATTACAACTGTTGAACTGTACCAAGAAGGTAAGCTGAGGACTTTTTACTTTGAACAAAAATATAAACTACTCCCCGTATAGTTTTACTAGAGATATTATCATTCTCTAGTGATCCATTATCATAGAAGTCTAACTGCTTATTATAACTTAAAGTTGAAATACATTTACTCAGCTCTGGAAGAGGAAAATCTCAACTTGAAAGTACCTATTTGTCTCTTGCCTAGGGAAAATCAATACTTTTTAAAGGGAAGTAAAATTAAATGCATATTTCATTGCCGTAACAACTTTCAAGGAGGCTAGTGTGATAAATTGGGTGGGATAGGTAGATTTTTATCTCTAAAACCTGTTAATATTTTTAATCCACATATGTATAGATTTACAAAAACTCAGCCAATAAAACAGGTAAAATGTATTTAACAAATATCTTTCTCATTTACACTGGGTATATACACTGAGTGGCCAGATTATGATGACCACCTGACATTTGTAGGCAAATTTGCCGGACACTGCATTGTATGGGATATGGAAGACAAAGGCCTGTTCAAACACCTTTGCTGTCTGCAGTTACCAAGATAAAACGTCTCAAATTCGCACAGGAACACACGGATTGGACAGACCAGCATTGGAAAAAGTCATGTGGTCCAATGAATCACGTTTCCAGTTGCATCATGCAGATGGCAGAGTGAGAATTTAACAGAAACAGTATGAAAGCATGCACCCCACATGCATGAGTACAACTCTTCAAGCTGGTGGGGGCAGTGTGATGGTGTGGGGCATGTTTTCCTGTCATGACTTGGGCCCTTTAATTCATGTGGAACAACGTCTGAATAGCACAACATACCTAAGTATCATTGCTGATCAAGTTCATCCTATCATGTGGATGGCATATCCCAGTGGAGATGGCTTCTTCCAACAAGACAATGCACCATGCCATAGTGTTCGTATTGTGCAGGAGTAGTTTCAAGAACACAAGGGAGACTTGACCTTGCTTAGGTGGCCCCCACAATCACCAGATCTCAACCCAATGGAGCATTTGTGGGATGAAGTTAGAAGAGCCATCAGGCAGCTGGTTCCACAATCATCAACTCTCACAGAACTGGACAATGCTATTCATCAGGGGTCAGATTCCTCGCATCACCTTTCAACACCTCATGGAGTCAATGCCAAGACGAATCACCGCAGTACTGAAGGCAAAAGGTGGCCCAGCGAAGTACTGATGGGTGGTCATTATAATCTGGCCATTCAGTGTTTATGACCAACAATTTTCTATTTCTTTGCTTCAATAATCTTGATAAGTATAGGGTTAATTTTTTCCTACTGCCTGCTAACGGTTGTTAAGCAAACAAAACAAAAAATTTGGAAAACATTATCTTGAGTCTGGAAACAGTTTCTTAATCTATAAAATGAAGGAAAAATATTGTATACATTATAGACTATTTAAGATTAAATGGCATAAGTTATGTAAAATGCTTAGAATCAAAAAGGTTTCAATAAGTGTTACATTATTATTACAGTTACCTCTCCTCAGGAATTTTGCCAGCTGCCATACAAAGCCATGATTTTTCTAAATTCTAGTTTTGTTTCTGTTACTATACCCTTCTATATTATGATTTTTCTAAAAGAAAAATGTTATGATAGAAAAAGGGTTGTGTGTTATTTTTTAATACCAGTAGTTGCCCCACAGCTCAAGTGGTAAGACTGCTTTTGAGCTGAAACCGGTTTGGCTCAGTGGATAGAGCGTCGGTCTGCGGACTGAAAGGTCCGGGGTTCGATTCCGGTCAAGGGCATGTACGTTGGTTGTGGGCACATCCCCAGTGGGGGGGTGTGCAAGAGGCAGCTGGTCGATGTTTCTCTCTCATCGACGTTTCTAGCTCTCTGTCTCTCTCCCTTCCTCTCTATAAAAAATCAATAAAAATATATTAAAAAAAAAAAGACTGCTTTTGAGCCCTACTGGTAGCGATGACAAAGATGACCTAGGAATGGTCGGCAAACTCATTAGTCACAGAGCCAAACATCAACAGGACGACGATTGAAATTTCTTTTGAGAGCCACATTTTTTAAACTTAAACTTCTTCTAACACCACTTCTTCAAAATAGACTTGCCCAGGCAAGTGGTATTTTGTGGAAGAGCCACATTCAAGGGGCCAAAGAGCCACATGTGGCTCGTGAGCTGGTTTGCCCACCACTTCTGGTATTAAAAAAATAACACACAACCAGTTCCCTTATCATGTGTTAGGTATACAATGCCAGCCAGTCTTCTCCTGGGGTCCTGGGTTTGCCAAGCTTATTTCCCATTTTGTCCCCTTACTTATGTTAGTCTCTTTTCTGTAATTCTGATCTGTCCTGTTCTTCCACATCCTTCAAGGCCACACTTAAGATTCATGAAGACTTCATAGACTAGACCCGTGGTCAGTAAACTGTGGCTCACGAGCCACATGCAGCTCTTTGGCCCCTTGAGTGTGGCTCTTCCACAAAATACCACGGCCTGGGCAAGTCTATTTTGAAGAAGTGGTGTTAGAAGAAGTTTAAGTTTAAAAATTTTGGCTCTCAAAGGAAATTTCAATCATTGTACCATTGATATTTGGCTCTGATCACTAATGAGTTTGCCGACCACTGGTCTAGCCTACCAGCTCTTAATCCTTATTCGTAATATCAAAATACTGTCTAATGCAAGAATGGCCAATAGGTTCCTTATTGCTTACGCATCCAATTGCTTAGTGATGCCTGTTGGAAACAGCATGTTGTGTATTAGCCTCAAGTCAAGGCTCAACTGAAAAACTGCAGACAAACTAGCGATATCACCTCTTCCCCCAGGAAGGGTGGGGGTTATGGGTATACTATGTATTTGCAATTCCTTCTCTCATGTGCTGAGCTTTGCATGAATCATCATGTTCCAAAATCAACTAACTGTCAAGAAAGAAAACACAAATGATTTATTCTTGAAATTAAATAAAATTATGTCACAAAGCTAACTAACCTGATACAGTCTGCATTTTTCTTAAAATGATAAGGTAAGATATTAAATACAGTCAGCTACATTGACTTTACTTCATGAGTCAGGTCTGCATGTACTATTGATTATTTCAGTTTGCTTCTGATAGATAAAGCACCATAAAATTTGTGCTCAGGATTTCACAACTTAATGACTTTATATGTTCATGTTGATTAAAATTCTAGTTTTGTTTCTGTTACTATACCCTTCTATATTAGGTTTTTTTACCTTATTTATTTATTTATTTATTTATTTATTTATTTAAATTTATCTTTATTGTTGGAAATATCACTATTGCCCCTTCCCCTCACCCCCACCATATATTCATTTTTTCATACCTCACAGCCAGTAAGACAGTGCTGGACCCAGGGTATTCAGAAGATAATCTCTCGTGCTTCTGCCTTCTCCCTCATACAGGCATACCTCGGAGACATTGTGTGTTCGGCTCCAGGCCACCCCAAAAGAGCGAGTCACTGAATTATTTTCTGTTTCCTAATATATATAAAAGTTATGTTTACACTATACTGTAGTCTATTAAGTGTGCCTAAAGATGTACAGGTCTTAATTTAAAAATACTTCATTTCTAAAAAATGCTAAACATCATTTGAGCCTTTGTGAGTGGCAATCTTTTTGCTGCTGGAGGCTACTGACTGCTGGGGGTTGCTGTAGGTTGAAGAGGCTGTAGCAATTTCTTAAACCATGAAGTTTGTCACATCAATTGACTCTTCCTTTCCTGAGTGACTCCTCTTTCCTTTCCTGAGTGACTCCTCTGTCCCAGGTGATGCTGTTTGGTAGCATTTCACCCACACAGAGCTTCTTACAAAACTGGAATCAGTCTTCTCAGATTTTGCTGGTGCTTTATCAGCCAAGTTTATGTCATATTCCAAGCCCTTTGTTGTTATGTCAGCACTCTTCGCAGCGTCTCCACCAGGAGTAGATTCCATTACTTATCCCTGGGTAGCTCCTCACCATTAAGGCTTTGTCAGGAGATGCAGCAATTCAGTCACATCTTCAGGCTCCACTTGTAATTCTCGTTCTCCTGCCATTCCCACTGCACATGCAGTTTCCTCCTCCACTGCAGTCTTGCAGCCCGAAAAGTCATCCGTGAGGGTTAGAAACAACTTCTTTCAAATTTCTGTTAATGTCCATATTTTGATCTTGTCCCATGAGTCATGAATGTTCTTACTCGCATCTGGGATGGTGAATCCTTTTCCAGGTTTTCAATTTATTTTGCCCAGATCCATCAGAGGAATCGCTAGGTATTTTGTAAATAATAAGACTTTCACGTTGAAATTACTCCTTGACCCATGGACCGCAGGATGGATGTTAACAGGTATGAAAACAACGTGAAATTTGTTGTCTAGTTCCATCAGAGCTCTTGGATGGCCAAGTGCACTGTCCATGAGTAACATTTCAAAAGGAATCTTTTTTTCTGAGCAGTAAGTCCTGACAATTGTCTTAAAATATTCAGCAAACCATGTTGTAAACCGACGTACTGTCATCCCAGCTTTGTTGATTTAAAGAACACAGGCAGAGTAGATTGAACATAATTCTTCAGGGCCCTGGGATTTTTCAGAATGGAAGCTGAGCACTGGCTTCAACTTAAAGTCACAGCTACACTAACCCCTAACAAGAGTCAAGTCAGCCTTTGAAACTCTGAGGCCACGCAATGGCTTCTCCTCTAGCTGTGCAAGTCCTAGTTGGCATCTTCTTCCAAATGAGGGTGTTTCACCTGCATTAAACCCTGTTGTTTAATGTAGACGTCTCTTTAATTATCTGAGCTAGATTTGCTGGGCAGCTTGCTGCAGCTTCTGTACCAGCATTCGCTGCTTTACTTTGCACCTTTATGTTATGGAGAGGACCTCCTTCCTTAAGCCTCATGAACCAACCTCTGCAGTTTCAGACTTTCTTTCTGCAGCTTCCTCACCTCGCAGCCTTCACAGAACTGAAGTGTTATGGCCTTGCTCTGAATTAGGCTCTGGCTTGAGAGAATATTGTGGCATGGTCCTTTATGCAGATCACAAAACTTTCTCCAGATCAGCAATAAGGCTGGTTTGCTTTCTTATCATTTATCAATTCACTGGAGTAAGCACATTTAATTTCCTTCAAGGACATTCCCATTGCTTTCACAATGTGGCTAACTTTGGAGCCAGAGGCCTAGCTTTCAACCCATCTTGGCTTTTGACATGTCTTCCTTCGTAAGCTTACTCTTTTCTGTCTTTTGATTTAAAGTGAGATATTCCATTCTTCCTTTCACTTGCACTCTTAGAGGCCACTGTAGAGTTATTAACTGTGTCTCACGAATGAGGAGGCCCAAGAAGAGGGAGTGAAACAGAGGAATGGCTGGTCAGGACAAAGTATTTATCAGTCAAGTTCACCATTTTAGATGGCTACAGTTTGTGGCACCCCAAAACAATTGCAATAGTAACATCAAAGATAACAGATCATCATAAGAAATATAATAATAGAAAAACTTGAAATATGGAGAGAATTACCAAAATATGACAGAGATACAAAGAAACTAATGTTGGAAAAATGGTGCTGATAGACTCGCTCAATGCAGGATTGCCACAAACCTTCAATTTGTAAAAAAACAAAAAAACAAACAAACAAACAAAAAAAACCCACAATTATATGAGAAGTGCAATAAAGTGAAGCACAATAAAACGAGGTATGCCTGTATTCTACTTCTAATGAAATAAGTGTCTGCTGTACTAACAATTTAAAGTAGCCTCTCAAAAATATAAGATGAGCTGAGAGTAACATACAAAAATTAGCAACAATATTAATGGGAGAAGCAATAAAGAATTAATATTCAATGTTGTAAATGTAACTTTGTTTTTAAGGATAAAGAAAAAAAACAACCTTCCATGGGTGAGGTCCAACCCACTAAGAATTTGGTGAGAATAATTGTATAATTTTCTTTCTTTATCAGCTTTTATTTAATTTAATTTCTTAATGTTTCTCTCTGAATTTTCTTTTTTATGATTGGTTTTGAAAATATTTTATAATGTTAGTAAAAGTAGCAAGAAGGTACCTTTTTGAAATTGCATCCCTTTAAACTGTTTTTTCTTTAAAAAAAAACTATTTTATTTTATATCATTTTTTTACTTTATTTGGTTGGCATTGGTCAATATAGATATAAGAGTTTCATGTGTGGGTTTTTTATGTTACAATATTTGTATATGGCACCAGGTGCCCACCACCCAGACCACTATTTTAAAATAAAAGGAGCTAGGGGAAATATCAGAGCACTAATTTTTTTTAGAAAGCAACAAAATTGAAACATCACTAGGTAATAGATAAAACATGAATAAACTATACAGGAGAAAGTAAACTAGAAAACAAGCATATGGTGAAAAAAAATGCCATCCTTATTCGTTAGTAAAGAAATACAAATTTAACAAGAGAACCTATTGTATTAATACAAAGTATACAATATATACTATAGATGTATGTGAATATTCTACATTTATAGATCATATTTATATTCTTATATAAATATTTATACTAACACACTATTGTACAAAATTATATATCAATATAAAAATAAATATGAATGAAAAACTCAGGATAATTAAATTTGATTACACATTAAATTGATATCAATATTAATTAGGAAAGGACATGTAAAAATGGAGGCACCTGGTTCATAGGAGTAATGAGTTCTCCTTTCATATTTCCATTATTGTTATAATGTCATGTGAGCCATAGGTTCATGGGAACATGGAAATTCCTTGCTCCCTTTAGAGAGGGGGCTAGCTTGCTAACCTCGGACTCAGGAAGCCTAGGAATCCCACTTGCATTCGCAGAGTAGAAATGAACACACGAGCAGTTTAAAAGGGCTTCTGGGTAAGAACACTGAGGGCTTCTGGGTAAGAACACATGGGTGGTGTGCACGCAATGCAGTGTACAGATCAATGCATCATAGAAACATACACTTGAAACCTATATAATCTTATTAACCAATGTCACCCCAATAACTGTAATTTTTAAAAAAGAAAGGGCATGAGAACTACACTAGACAAGAAAAACTGGGGAAGACACAGGAGGGAGATACCATCTGTGTCCTCAGAATTACAGAAATAAAATGGTTCTTCACTTTTGGTCTCTGAAGAAAAGTCGTGAAATTCTCACATCCGTGTATTTCCCATCTGCTTGGTCACATAAACTCAAACACGCACTCTTTAAATATGTCCTGGGACCCTCACTAAACAGTCTATGAGAAATTCTCCTTCGTAATTATCTTTGATATCTGTTGTCTAATGTTTTTAATGGATTATCTCAAGGCTGTGTGTTAATGTTATTCAACTCAAAGAGACCCGAATCTGTGCCTTAACTAAAAATAGGACAACCGAGCTCTAGATCCAGTCATTATATTTACTAGACATGTGACCATAGCAGCTTATTTACCCTCTTTGCAGCTGTTTCCTCATCTGTGAAAGGAGGCAAAATCAGCAATTTCATCGAGTTAAGTAGATACAATGCAATAATGTGAGTCACAGCATCTGACTATAAAACACCCAGTGGCTGGTTGGAGTCTCAGGAAGGTTCTTGGCCCTGCCCCAGCCACACTGCCAGCGGCTCCCAGGAGTGTAAGAGGATCAGCAAAGCTGCTCCATGCTCATCGCTTCCCTGTGAGGGGCCTCTCTGTCCGCTTTCTGTAGGCTGAACACGAAACTAGGATTTTCATCAACAAATGAGAGTTAGCTCATGATGCAGGTGCAGACTGATGGGGTAGACTTTAGGGCACACGCTCACTCAGGGAGATCCTTAGTCATCATATCTGCTAAAATACGCTGCCTGTTTTCAGCGCTAACTATTCCTTCCATGAAAAAAAAATATTTTCCTATGTTAAAAAGTCTAATTGAGTCATTTACAAATATCTCCCCCACAAACGTTTAAATAGCATTCTTGTCCTATGTTGTAGCCAGCAGGCATCGCTCTTGAATGAATTCTAAATCTTAAACCACAACAACCTTGGATTTCCTACCTATCATGCCAACCAGAGTTAGAAATCACAGGGTTAAAGTATGATGCAAGATTCTCCTTTCCCATGACACAGAATTTTCGGTAGACCCTAAGATGATGGGAATTAAAGATTGAATATTTGAAAACATGTATTTTTATAAAAATGTGAACTTAAAACTACTTTTGCATATTTCTGTAGGAAGAGAAGAAGTCTTCAAAGGGGCAGAGAAAACAGGATGAAATGTGTTTCCTGATGATACTACTAGAAAAGATAAAAACCTGCTGGAATAAAATTTTGAGCGGCACTAAAGAGCATTGAAATGTATGGCGTGACAATATAAAGATGTGAACTTCAGTTGCATCCCTCAAGAACTGACCTGCTCGTGCAATTTTCCGGGGTAGAATGCCTCCTAGAAATTACTGAATATGTCTGGTAAAATTGAGTGAGAGCAGTTGAGAAATACATGCTGTGGTACTGGAAGGACACAAACCATGGGAACCGAACACTGCAATCAACGGACTATTTCATGTGTGTGCGCATGCATCAGCTGGTGTTCATTTGAGACTGATTTTTGTAAGATGATCCATGTAAGGTATTAGCTGCAATAATCCTTTTTAGACCTGTTAGAAACATTCAGAAGACATGTAAAATCTGTTGTGTATATAAAGGTTCCAAGGATTAAAAATTAGCCTTGCTTTATTTCTTTATGTCCTACTATGCATCAGTATACCGCAATGCGTGTTAATATTGTCATCTTCTGGCTGGAAACATTTCAGAATTGACAGTGAGGTGTGGATAATGCCCAAGCGAACAAGAGTCATGTATCTTAAAGCAAAAACGTAAAGGAGGATGCTTAAGATGGGTTCAGAGAGGTATGAGTGTGTAGCACACTGCCTCCAGGAGATGGCATAGCAAATGCCATCAAATGAAAACAAAATAGGAAGTCACCTGTTTTAAGGCTGCTAAGCCATAGTACCGAGTTTCTTCTGTCATATACGTGTAATAAAACTTGTCTAAATGAGTTTGCAATTTGGGAAGTATATTTTTAAGAGAATAATATATGTTGCCTTTTAATGAATGGAGTATGTATATTTAATTTTGACACTATATCTGTATATAAAAATATTTTCATACAGTATTACGAACAAATTACTTACTTTGGATAACATTTCTCCTTTGATAATAAATGACCTATGTATTAACACTGTCAGATTCACTTAATCTCAACAGAACTTTCCCCCCAGTTTTTTGGGAAACATTTGACATGCGTCACTGTATATGTTTAAGGTATCCGACATGACGGTTTGCTTTACATAGATTGTGAAATGATTAACACGGTAAGTTCAGCTAAAATCCATATTCTCATATAATAAAAAGAAAAGAAAGAACTACTTTCTCTTTATGATGAGAACTTAAAGGACTTACTCTTAACAAGTTTCCTATGTTGCATATGGCAGTGTTAGCTATAGTCATCATGTTTGCACATCCCTGGGATTTAGTTATTTTATAACTGGACCTTTGTACCTTTTGGCCACCTGCCTCCAGCGTCTCCCTCCCCCTACCCTCTCTGTCTGGTGTCTCTTTCTTTTTAATACATGTTTATTGATTTCAGAGAGGAAGGGAGAGGGAGAGAGAGAGAGATTAAAAACATCAATGATGAGAGAGAATCAGTGATCAGCTGCCTCCTGTACACCCCCTACTGGGGATCAAGCCCACAGCCCAAGCATGTCCCTTGACCAGAATTAAACACAGGACCCTTTTGTCCTCAGGCCGATGCTCTATCCACTGAGCCAAACTAGCCAGGGCTGTGTCTGGTGTCTTTTAATACGAGCTTTTATTTTTAGGATCCACATGTGAGCTCAATACAATATTTGTCTTTCTCTGTCTGACTTAATTCACTTAATGGTTTCAAAGTCCATCCATGTTGCCACAAATGGTAGGATTTCCTCCTCATTTTTATGGCGGAATTGTGATATACACACACACACACACACACACACACACACACACACACACGGCCACAATTTCATCCATGCATCCCCCAAGAGACACTTAGACTTTTCCCACGCCTTGGCTATTGTGAATGCTGCTATGAATATGGGCTGCGGTTATCTTTTTGAGTTATTGCTTTGGATCCATTCCTGGAAGTGGATTCTGGGTCATATGGTAGTTTTGTTTTAGATTGTTTAAGCTCTTCCATACTGTTTTTCAAGTGGCTGAACCGATGTACAGTCCCACCAGCCCTGCATGTGGGGTGCCTTTTCTCCACGTCCTCGCCAGCATCAGTCACCTCTTGTTTTTTTTATGATGGCCATTCTAACAGGCACCAGGTGATATCTCATTGTGATTTAAGTTTGCATTTCCCTAATGATGAGCAAGCCAACAGGATTTTTTTTAAGGTGAGATTTTTAATATTGCCCTACTATTTGGTCTCTTTCACTGAACATATAACCTTTAATACCTTATTACCAAGAATGTACACAAGGCCAATGATAGTACTATTAAACGGGTTCTGCTAAATACTTTTCCACACTTCCAATTATTCCCTCAAGAAGTACATCTTATGCCGAAACCGGTTTGGCTCAGTGGTAGAGCGTCGGTCTGCGGACTGAAAGGACCCAGGTTCGATTCCGGTCAAGGGCATGTACATTGGTTGCGGGCACATCCCCGGTAGGGGGTGTGCAAGAGGCAGCTGGTCGATGTTTTTCTCTCGTCGACGTTTCTAGCTCTCTATCTCTCTCCCTTCTTCTCTGTAAAAAAATCAATAAAATATTTTTTTTTTTAAAAAGTACATCTTATAAATAAAACTGGAGGCCCAGTGCACGACATTTGTGCACTTGGTGGGGGGAGGGGTGTCCTTCAGCCCAGCCTGTGCCCTTTTGCAATCCAGGACCCCTCAGGGGATGTGCAACTGACAACTTAGTCAGACATCCTTAGCACTGCCATGGAGGCAAGAGAGGTCCTACCACCACTGCTGCGCTCACCAGCCGTGCACCCGGCTTCTGGCTGGGTGGTGCTCCCCCTGTGAGAGCGCACTGACCACCTGGGGGCAGCTCCTGTGTTGAGCGTCTTCCCCCTGGTGGTCAGTGCATGTCATAGTGACCAGTCATTCTGCCATTAGGTCAATTTGCATATTAGCCTTTTATTATATAGGACTAGAGGCCCGGTTCATGAAATTCATGCACTCGGAGGGAAGAGGGGGTCCCCTCAGCCCAGCCTTCATCCTCTTGCAGCCTGGGACCTCTCAGGGGATGTCTGATGGCTTAGGCCTGCTTGCGGGGAGTGGACCTAAGTCGGCAGCCAGACATCCTTGGCACTGCCGTGGAGGTGGGAGAAGCTCCCGCTACCACTGTTGCCCATGCCGGCCGTGAGCCCGGCTTCTGGCTGAGCGGTGCTCCCCCTGGGGGAGCACACTGATCACCTGAGGGCAGCTCCTGCAATGAGCATCTGCCCCCTGGTGGTCAGTATGTATCTTAGAGACCGGTCATTCCACCATTTGGTCAATTTGTATATTAGGGTTTTATTATAAAGGATTCCTAGGTTATGAAGCATAAATATTTGTAAAGCTTTTATATTAAAGTAAATTTAGTCAACTTTAAAAAAATGTATTATCAATTTCTACTGTCAGCATATAAGGTCTTTCACCTTCATGCCCCTTGGCAGTTTTCAGTTTCTTTATAAGACTGCTGGTCTGATGAATAAAATCGGCACTTCTCTGTGGAGTACACTCAGCACTACTGGCAACCTCCTATCCCCAGCCTCATTGCTGCAAATGCACAACAGGAGGGAAAGTAAGGTGCCTGGGCAAACAGAGAAAAGGGAAGGTGAAGTGAAGGGTTATGGGAGATGGCAGGAACTGATGTGTCATCAGTAACTTTTACGCAACGGCACTTGTTCTGAGTCACCAGGACACTGGAAGCCAACTGAGTTTTGCAGCTCACCTGGACCCAACAAACACACATCCTTCCCACGGCCTTATGCCTTTCCCTCCAAAGGTGGTTCATCAGCTCTCATCACAGCCCTCCGGTCTCCTCCTGAGCACTGGGACAGGGAAGGAAAACAGAAAACGGAATGGTTGGCTGTCTAACTTGTGACAAGAAAGCTGCATTTTCAACACTTCTACAATACTTGGTGCTTTTACAATATAGAAAAGTTCTATTAAAAGAAATCCTTGCTTGTCCTAAATTGTAGTTGTTTAGCTATCAGCTTCTCCAAATAAATGATCAACTTTAAGACAGAAATTAATCACGTCTTATTTTTCTTAATACTTCATAGAAGGAAAACCATATAAAGCACATCTTAAGTGTTTATAAAGCTTCAGCTTTGTGCATGTTACATTATGCTAAGCGTCTTACCTCCTATTTGCATTGATGTTACTGTCACATGTTAGTTAGGCCAGATGATTGGGGGGAAAGCCTTATTTTAAAGATTATAATTGCTGTACAACTAAGATAAATTTTAAACTTTAATATTTTGGTAATGTGCATGAGTAATACATTAAAGATATATAATTGCTAACAAAATTTAAAATAAATATGAAATACTTCTATCAATGAAAAGCACACTGGTGCCCAAAATGAGCTAGACTAGTTTCTAAGAAATCAACAGATGGGTTATAAAATCCAAAAACCTCGCTCTTATAAATCTCTGTAATTCCATACTCCCCATCCTCACAAATTCATGCCCATGTTTCTGAGCGGCTTTTAAAATAAGAGTTACTGGTAATATTAGCCTAAAGCACCCCCTAGTGGCAAAATAAAAACCAGTCCACATATAGTTTTACAGCCAAGCAAAACTATGTAATCAATGAATATCAACAGTAACATTTAATTGAAAAAAAAGTTAAATGAGGCTAAGAATGAGTGTGGCTTTCATTAACTATTTTAATGACTCTCCACTGCTCTATCCAATAATTCAGTCGGGTGGAAAATCAGCCTATCTTCTCTCAGTAATAAAAATATACGTAACCCTATAAAATACCTACACCTGCAATGCAAACAGTTCTGCTCACCTCTTCTATTATTTTTTTTCCATTTCCTGAGCCTCTACTCATGAATACTACACATGGTAACAATATTCACTTCTAGCCTAAGGAAAATTGAGTAAAATCAAACATGTCTAATCTGATGTTTTCACTGGAGATAACTCCTGTTATAATTTTAAGCATGATGGTCTGACGCTTAGACTCTAAGTATTCATCACAGATGAATACGTTTTCCATTCGATTGTGTATTACCTAATTAGAAATACTCATAATGTATTTCAACCTGAACTTCACTAAATGTTTTCAATTGCTAGATTTTATTGGCTATGAAGAGAATATTTCAATGCCTTAATCTGTGACAGAACGTATTTACCTTTGAGGTCAAAACCACTTCAATAAAATAGTAATAATTTCTTTTGGCACACAAAAACCTGCTCATTTTTAAAACTCTGTATTTTGACTTACAAGATTCTCTTTGTATTTCTTCGTGTTTCTATCTTTGTACCTATGACTGGCTGAAAGATAAGACATCAATGAAAACCAAATAGCCATTTTTTTGCTTCATGTCTTTATTGAATATGTGCAAAAATGAAAACTTATTTGAAATAAAACCCATAGAAGGAACAGGAGACAACAACAATTATAATCATCTTACTTTTTTCAGGCTAATAACTTCAAAAATAATGTGTAAGAAATTTTTTCTATTTTAATTTAAGCTTACAATCTTTTAAATTCTACCACTGGCAAATGCTTGTGTAAATAAATAAATGATGCATAGATCTAGGAAAATTTCTTCAAAACCAAACTAATGCATGACAAATCATTGTGAGAATTATATATGTAAGTAATATAAAAATGTATTTAAGTATTGTCGTAACACGTTTCATGATTCATGAAACTCTTTTGACCAACATAACTGAGTAAAGACAACCAGAAATAAATTAATAAAAAATTCAGGGTTGAAACTCTAATGTAAGTAAAATGACAATTCCCATTACATTAAGTTTATATCCCCTGCCTGAATAAAAAGAACTAATGAATAAAATTATAAAGTATAAGCATAAATAAATGTCAGGGAAATTTATAAGCCATGAATTTCTACATTGATCTTTATAGTTTAACAGAATCAAAAACAAGAAGCTAGGAATTGCCTATAAAAGATTTGATTATATATTTATAATACAGTTGTTAGGCTTAATTCAACAGAAATTACTACTGAATCACTGAATATGGATGGCTACACAAGCAAAGAGATTTACTACTACATACTATGCTACTACACTGAGTGTGATAATGATTATATGATGTATTTTAGCCAAAGGAAAGAAGTATAATTAAATTTTTGTGAATGCTTAATTACATGTCAGGTATGCATTAAAGCAATGTATTTTCAGAGGCTTTTTATTGTGATGAGAATGGTGTTTCAACATGAAAAACTAAAAAGAAAATGTGAGGAAAAATTAGATATTCTCTTAGCCTACTCATAACTACATCTAACTATACTTCAAAATTCAAATTCTTTTACCTGCATGCCCTCCACTGATAGTTATTACCAAAATTATTACTTATTTGGTGAGGTGGTTTGTTTTAAAATCCACTGAAGTAATTTCTTCTACATTCTGATGCACAGAAATAAACATGAAAGAATTTGAAGAAAATTTTTGCATCTTTTATTGATTACATTTTCAAACTTTGCAAAAATGAAGTAGTAAATTAAAACTATTCCACATTCCCAGCCAGTTTGATGCAGTGGATAGAGCCTCAGCCTGTGGACTGAAGGGTCCCAGGTTCAATTTCAGTCAAGGCACATGCTTCAGATGCAGGCTATTGGCCCTGGTTGGGGTGTGCAGAAGGCAAACAACCAAAGTATCTCTCTTACATCAGTGTTTCTCTCTGTCTCTTCCCTCTCCTTTTAGTCTCTCTTTTTAAAAAATCAATGGAAAAATGGGTGAGGATTAAACATAATAATAATTAATAAAAATTATAATGAAACTATTCGTTAGACTTTAGGTTATGGGAAAGAAAGAACTGAAATTTGAAGATGCAGACACAGAGGTAAAAATTTCAGTTATAACTAGAATAAGATTTGTATTTTTAGCCTGTGTCTTCAAAAAGGAAATTGCATAATTACATTTTGAGAGCAGGAGTACAAATATTTAAATTATATCATATACACTGAGTAAAGGGTAACACAGAACTTGTCTTTTTGTAAAATTTTATAAAATTGTTGAGCACTACTGCAAAATGACCTTACATAACTAATTGCAACTAAAAATATTCTCAATTCCAAAATTCCAAGCAACCCATCCAACTATCATGGATACTGTCTGAAAATAGGCACCAATAATAAAATGATTATTGTGATCTTTTGCTCAAAGTAATGATCATCCTAAAGCTTGAAGGGCTAAATACTAGTTTGAAGATTTGTATAGTATACTTAATGTGTTTTAACAACAGAAAAGGACTACTACCTAGGTTAATGATTCCACTTGAAATTATTTTCCAACAGATGAGTATTTTCTTGACTGGCACAGTTTGGAATAATAGGTATTTATTATATACAGTATATGTACACATATATACACAAACACCACACACATTATATAGCAAGATTATGTTCCAAAAATTGCTGGAAAAGTGTATCAATTTTAGCACAAAATAATTAGAGGAAGTGCTCTGGCTGGAAGCAGTAACAGTCATCAAACTCTGGACTTCGCGCTCTCGTTTGGTGTTTGGTTCACAGAACTATTCTTCGAACGCCACATTCACAGCAAAACTTGGCCCATTCCACAGGGTACTTGGTCCCACACTCGTGGCAGAATTTGGGTAAGTGTCCAGATGAACCTCCTTCAAATCCTTTCATGTTTCCTCCGTTGAGCGAAGACACATAGTCGCCGTCTGGCCTGGAGGAGCACAGAGAAAAGATCACATCAGCTGTTTCAACGCGAAACTCCCGGAAGCAGGGCTCACAGTAAGCATGACTGACATGCTGGCTTCGTCTCACTTCTGGTTCAGAGTAAGAAACACGGTTGTATTTTTAGAATTACAGGTTTCTGTATTTGAACTATGTGTCTCAGGTATCCCATTTGCCAGCCAGCGTAAGTTTGTTTTTAGAACTCTACTTCCATTCCGATCTCCTCTCTGAAAAACCACCTCATCTCTGAAGAAACAAACTCTTTGTTGTGAATTTTATCACTAACAATGAAGCTTCTAGTCTTTGGAATGCACCCAGCTGTTATTTACTGATGCATGGAAAAGAATAAAAACATATTTTGACCTTCCTTCTGCTTTTTGCTTTTACATTTCTAAATCTGTATAATCACAATGTCAAATTTTTATTTCCTTCCTATCTTCTTAATTTCATTTTCAGTTACATTTAACATACAATAATATATTAGTTTCATGTGCACAACATAGTGGTTAGACATTGATGTAATTTACAAAGTGATCATCCCACTAAGTCTACTACCCATCTGACACCATAATTATTACACTACTAGAGGCCCAGTGCACAAAAAGTCATGGACTGGGGAAGGGGGCGGGCCCACAGCCCGGCCTGCCCCCTCTCACAGCCCAGGAACCCTAAGGAGATATCCTACCGACCGCTTATGCCCACTCCCCATCTCCTGGAGGAGCAGGCCTAAGCTTCAGTCTGGCCTCCCTCTGGAGGAGACGACCAGGCTGTTCAGGGGAAGGCGCCGTCCTCATCACCCAGCCGTAGCTGCCTGCCCTCAGCCTTGCAGCTTTGAACGAAAGACATTCAGCTGTCTGGTCTAATTAGCGTACTATGCTTTTCTTATTATAGATTATTGACTACATTCCCTATGCCGTATTTTTTTTAATCCCTGCCTGCTATCTTACTAAAGTTACTTTTTCTTTTTCCCTCTCTTCTTTCTCATCCTATCTACTCTCTTCAATTAAATAAGGGTAGCAGGGTTCTAAATTTGCAATGTGAAATGTTCTGTTTTAGTAATATCTGTTCAAAGGAATTTATACATTAAATACAATTTCCTGCTTTCATATCCTCTTCTTAATCTGATCAGTGCCCAGGAAGTGATTTTTTTAGTTCTCTCAATTACTGTTGTTACTGCCTTTCGAAGAGTTTTGTGTCCCAAGCCCTGTATTTATGTGGTGTATGCACTTAAACACAGTTGATTAATGTTCATGAATCAAAGAGTTTTGCTGCTTTTGGAAAACTCTAGCATCCATTTAGAATGGTTTGAAATGGCCATAGTGCAGCTCAGATTTTTTTTTACTATTGACAGTATTACAGACAGATGTTCCCTATTTACCCCCTCAGCCCACTCTACCAAATGCCAGCCCCACCCCAGGCCTATTGTATGTGTCCACTGACAATGCACATATACATACATACATACATACATACATATATGTTGTTCCCAGTTCCCCTTATCACCCTCCCCTCCGAGATCTATCAGTCAGTTCCATGCATCCTTGTCTCTGAACTTATTTTGTTCATTGATTCTACAAATAAGTGGGATCATGTGATACTTATCTGTTCCTGACAGACTTAATTTACTTAGCATAATACTCTCCAGGTCACTCCATGCTGTCACAAAGGGTAAGAGATCCTTTTTAACAGCTGCATAGTATTCCATGGTATGTATGTACCACAGCATTTTTATCCACTCATCTGCTGATGGGCACTTAGGCTGTTTACAGATCTTAGCTAGCTATCTAATATACTGCTGGTTGGAATGCAGTATATGCCAATAGACAGAACAGCAGAACAAGCAAACAACTGGTCACTTTTACATGCACTGACCACCAGGGGGGTGAGCACGGAACATGGTGAGCGTCGGTTGCAGTGAGATTGTGGAGCAGGTGAGCGAGGATGCCAGACTAAGGGGGGGCACCGGTTGCTGTCATTGGGGCAAGCCTCTGGTGGCTACTGAAAATTCTTTGCTCCTGCACACGACGGTCCCACCCTATGCTTGCACCTGCTGCCAGTGCCAGCCCTGTTTGTATCCATGCCGGCACTAGAGCTGCCACTCGCACCCTCTGCTGGCGTCTGGTGCCAGCCCCAATCGCTCGGCACTGTCAGCAGGTGCAAGTGGTGGCTGCTGGCCCCTATCATCGCTGAGGGCTTCTCCACCTCCCCCTGCTCCTGAAGGGCGATCGGGTAGCAGCTGCCACTCACGCCCGCTGATGGAACTGGCCCTGCTTGCACCGGCTGCTGGCAGCGGCCCCAATTGCTCCATGCCATCAGCAGGTGTGAGTGGGGCTGGCGCCATCAGCCCGTGGGAGTCGCAGCAGTGGGAGTGGGGCTGCCGGCAGAAAGGGAACCGGGAGCCATGGCAGGAGAGGCCAGGCAGGGGAGCTGGAAGATGGGCCACAGTTCCTTTCAAGGTGCATGAATTTATGCACGGGGCCCCTAGTTGTAAATAAAGCTGCTAAGAACATAGGGGTGTATGTATTCTTTGATTGGTGTTTGGGGGTTTCTTAGAATATATTCCCAGAAGTGGAATTGCTAGGTCAAATGGTAGTTACATTTTTAACTTTTTTGAGGGAAGTCCAAACTGTTACACCAGTCTGCATTCCAACCAGCAGTATATTAGGGTTCCTTTCCCTCCACATTCTCACCAGTACTTGATATTTGTTGATTTATTGATGGCAGCTATTCTGGCAGGTGTGAGGTGATACCATAGTGTACTTTTAATTGATATCTCTCTGATGAATAGTGACACAAATTGTTGTGCGATGCGGCAGCTTAGACACTTACCTAGGCCGCCATCTTGGTTCCTTCGGGTTCCCTTTTCTCTTTGTTGATGGTTTCTTTGGCTGTGCAGAAGCTTTTTACTTTGACATAGTCTCATCTATATATATATAAAAGCCAAAGCGACCGAAAAACTAAACCAATTGACCGGTCGCTATGATGGGCACTTACCACCAGGAGGCAGACAACGCAGGAGCTGCTGGTGGTCAGTGCACTTTTACAGCGGGAGTGCCTTTCAGCAAGCTTACCGAGCAGTGGCGGCAGCAGGCACAGCAGGGCGGGGATGAGTGGAGTGGTGCAGGCTCCTCCTGGCTGCCTGCAGCTTTGCATACCACTTTGGGTAGTATGGACATTTTAATAATGTTTATTCTTCCTGTTCCTGAACATAGTATATGCTTCCACTTGTTTATATCCTCCTCTATTTCTTTTTTCAGTACAGGTCTTTTACCTCCTTGGTTAAGTTTATTCCTAGGTTTCTTTTTGTTGTTGCAATGGTATATGAAATTGTTTAGTTTTCCTTTCTGAGAGCTCATTTTTGATGTATAAAAATGTCATGAGTTTCTGGATGTAAATTTTGTATCCTGCTGCTTTGCCAAATTCATTTATTAAACCTAATAGTTTTTTGGTGGAGTCTTTAAAGTGTTCTATGTACATCAAAAAATATCATATTTCTATGAATAATAACATAATAACAGTTCCTCCTTTCCAGTTTGGATGCCTTTATTTTTTCTTCTTGTCAGACTGCTGTGGCTAGAATTCAGTACTATATTGTACAGGAGTATGAAAACAGACATTCCTCTCTTCTTCCCAATCTTAAGGGAAATGCTTTTGGTTTCCGTCCAGTGAAAATAATGTTGCCCAGCCAGTGTGCTCAGTGGTTGAACATCGACCTATGAAACAGGAGGCCACGGATCAATTCCCCGGTCAGGGCACATACCCAGATTGTGGCTCAATCCCCAAGAGGGTACATGTAAGAGGCAGATAATTAATGATTCTCCCTTATCATTGATGTTTCTCTCTCTCTCCCCCTCTTCTCTCTGAAATCAATAAAGATATATTTAAAAAAAAAAAAAAAACTTATAAGACATTTAAAAAAAAAAGAAAAATGATTGGCTGTAGGTTTATCATATATGGTCTTTGTTATGTTGAGCTATGATCTCTAAATTCCCAATTTGCTGAGTTTTTATCATAAATGGGTGCTGGACTTTGTCCAATGCTTTTTCTATATCTATTGATATAATCATGTGACTATTATCCTTCATTTGTTTATGTGATCTATCACATTAATCAATTTGTAAATACTCTATCAGCCATGCATCCCCAAGATAAACCCTAAGATAATATATTGCTGGATCCTGTTTGATAATATTTTGTTAAGGGTTTTAGCATGTGTTTATCAGGGATATTAGCTTGGTAATTTTTTTTTTTTTGGTAGTGTCTTTATCTAGTTTGGGAATTATAATAATGCTGGCATCAAAAACAAAAGCTTGGAAGTCTTCCTTTCCCTTGAATTTTTTGGAATAGTTTGAGGAAATAGGTGCTATTCTTTGAATGTTTGGTAAAACTTGCCTGTGAAGCCATCCAGTTTAGGACTTTTGTTTGCTAGGAGTTTTTTTTTATTATTATTATTACTGCTTCAATTTCATTAGTTGTCTATTTAGGTTTTCTGATCCTTCCTGACTTATAGAAGATTGTATATTTCTAGGAATTTGTCCATTTTGTCCAGATTATACAGTTTGTTGACATAATAGTTGTTCATAGTATTTTCTTACAATTCTTTGTATTTCTGTGATGTCAATAGTTACTTCACCTCTCTCATTTCTGATTTATTGGGGACCTCTCCCATTGTTTCTTGATGAGACTAGCTAAAGATTCACCAATTTTGTTTACCATTTTAACGAACCAGCACTTGGTTACGCTGATCTATTTGTAGGGATGTTATTTTTTTAGTTTCTATACCATTTATTTCTGCTCTGATATTATTTCCTTCTACTTACTCTGGGATTGTCTTATTCTTTTTCTAATTATTTTTTTAACTAGTAGCCCAGTGCAGGGAATGTGTGCATGGTGGAGGGTGTTCCTCAGCATGGCCTGCACCCTCTCCAATCTGGGTCCTCTAGGGGATTTCCAACTGCCGATTTAGGCCTGATCCCTCCTGCCGACCTGCTCACCCTCAACTGCCCTCCCCTCCTGGCCTGATCACGCCGAACCACCTCTGACTCGGCTCCGCTACCAATGGCTTTGGCCAGAAGGACATCCAGAAGATCTCCCGGTCTAATTAGCATTTTACCCTTTTATAAGTATAGATTATAGGGTAAGATTGTTTATGAAAGATTTTCCTTGTTTCTTGAGTTAGTCTTGTAATGCTATGAACTTCCCTGTCAGGACTATTTTCCCTGTGTCCCATAGATTTTGAGTTGTTATATGTTCATTTTCATTTGTTACCAATAACTTTTTTATTTCTTCCTTGAACTCATTGGTAACCCATTCATTGTTAATACCATGCTATTTGGTTTACATGTATTTGAATGTTTTTGAGTGTTTTTACTGTAGTGATTTATAGTTTCATGCCATTGTGATCCAAGAAGATGCTTGGTATGATTTCAATCTTCTTGGACTTGTTGAGACTTATTTTGTCTCCTATCATGTGGTCTATCTTTGAGAATGTTCCATGTGCACTTGAAAAGAATGAATATTCTGCTGCTTTGGGGTGAAAAGTCCTATAAATATCAACTAAATCCACCTTATCTAGTGTGTAAAGTCGCTATTTCCTTACTGATTTTTTGTCTGGAAGATCTACACTGTGGGGTGTTAAAGTACCCTAATATGACTGGATTGCTATCAATCTCTCCTAAGAGTACTTTATGAGGTTTTTTAAACGTATTTAGGTGCTCCTATATTGGGTGTATATATGTTTATAAGGTTATATCCTGTTGTTGGATTGTATTATGTATTTTTCCTTTAGTATTATATAGTGACCCTCATTGTCTCTCAACATAGCCTTTATTTTAAAGTCTATTATCCTATATAATAAAAATATAGTATGCAAATTGTCCATTCAACCAGGAGGTGGTCCAGGAGTTTGACCAGGCGGCAAGGGGAAGGGAGGAAGGCCCTAGCTGGCAGTGGCGGCCAGGGGAAGGGAGGGAGTACCAGTCAGCCACCAGCAGCCGCTAGGGACTGCGTTAGATAGAAGTATTGCTATCCCAGCTTTTTTCTTATTTCATTTCCATTTGCATAAGTTTTTCATGCCTTCACTTTCATTCTGTGTAACTCTTTTGTTCTGAGGTGGGTCTCTTATAGACAGTGTATCAATCTATAGGTCATGCTTCATCCATTCAGCCACCCCTAAGTCTTTTGGAGTATTTAACCTATTTACATTTATGGTTATTATTATTTATTGCCATTTTTGTTCCTCATGCCCATGTTCCTCTTTCTATCCTTCCCCGCTTTCCCTCCAAACCTTCTCCTCTATCCCCTCCTCCTCCTTTCTCACCTATAATATTTCTGTTGAGAAACCAGCTGACAACTTTATGCAAGGTCCTTATAGATAATTGTCTCTTGCTGCCCTTAAGATTTCTCTCTCTGTCTTAACGTCTGCCATGTTAATTATGATGTGATTTGCTGTGGGTCTCTGTGTGCTTTGGAACCTGTGAGACTTTTACCTTCACCAGGTTCCACTAGGTTTCTGTCATACTTCTCCCAACAGGTTCTCTGCCCCTTGCTCACTTTCTTTACTCTCTCAAGTTACCCCTAAGGTGTGAGTGCTACATTTCATTTGTCTCAAAGTTCCCATAAACTAGCCTTGTGCTTTTTAATTATTTTTTTCTTTTTACTGCTGATTTTTTTTCTACCTTGTCTTCTGATTCACTGATTTAATCCTCCATGTCCTTTAATCTATTGTGTATTCTTTCCAGTGTATTTTTATTTCAGCTATGTCATTCTTCATTTCCAGCTGGTTGTTCTTCATGGTTTCCATGTCCTTTTCCACATTGTTAAGCATTCTTAAAACCATCACTTTGAACTCTTTGTAATAAATTGCTTGCCTCCATTTCATTTAGCTCTTTTCTTGGAGATTCCTACTGTTCTTTCATTTGGGGCTTGTTTCTTTATTTCCCCATTTTTGCTGTTTCTTTGTGCTTATTTCCATGCATTAAATAGTACTGCTATAATTCACAGTCCTGGTGGGATTTTGCTCTGATGCTGTCCAAATCTGGCCTCTTGGTGTTCCCAGTCCAGGGCCTCCCAGAAGTTCTGTGGTACAAGTTAATGCCAGTCGCTGAACCTTCCTGGCCCTCAGCAATCTGACTGAAGCATAGCAGGATGGAGCTCCAAGAAGTCCCAAGGGTGGAGATTCCATAGCCCAGAGGCTCCTCACATTCACTTCTGGGTGTACCAATCAGACCCCTCTGCTGGCCCAGGTCTTGGCCACACGGCCCCTCCCATAGACACAGATCTGAGGGGACTTCCCTGGCTGGTGTCGTAACAAAGAAATCACTCTTTGGGGTGGTGCGATCTGAAATTCCCAGGTAAACCGAGTCCCCACTGACTCCCACTGCCTGGTGCTAGACAGGCTCCCCTCCGGTGCTCTGGATTGGGGAATCCTGCATGAGGCTAACACCCACACTCCCAGGGCCGGAGGCTCCAAAGATACACTTTTCCTCAGGCTTCCCCACCACGCAGGTGCACAAGTTGGCTCACCCTCTGTGTCTCCTGTCCTTTGTCCAAGTTCCCTGCCTGCAATCCTTCAGATCAGCTACACTCAGCTGACTTTCAAGCTGAACACTCAGCAGTTTATCCACAAATCCAGTGTGGGGTTGGGAGCAAGTAGATGGAGCCTCCAGCTACTCTGCAGCATCTTAGAATCCCGATCTCTTTTAGTAAATATTAAAATTTTAAATGTTTTCTTTGGCATTGTATTTGTCCCAAGAAAATGTCTTTAAATCTATCCTTTAATTCACTTCTCTCTTCTTTCATTGTGACTTATCTACAATTTAAACCATCTTTTGAGTCTTTATTGAGTTCTATTTAGTTCTTTTGCACAGATGTTCACTATGTGACAGAATATTGTCACTGTTAATAATTCCAATGTCCTCTCTTATTCCTTTACATACTTAAAGCAGGCTTATTTTATAAGTCAATGTTTGATGATTTCAATATTCAAATAGGTACATATACTTATTAATTTTTTCCTCACTAGTGATTGATTGCTAGTTTGTACAATTTGGGATTTCTCTGTATGTCTTACAAGTCAAAACTGTGTGCTTACATTTATTTACCTGTGAGAACCAGAAAGCCTAGATAAAGAGCATTTCACACCAGATAATTTGCATTCCTTATACAGGCTCTGAGGTACTAAACCAAAGTTATTTTTCTAGTTAAGAATTTCTTAGAACTTCCTTTATATTTTTGCCTTTTACTTTTCTGAGAGCTCAGTACCTTTCTATTATGGTACCTTTATGTACTTTGCCTTAAAATTTTCTGGAATAAGTTGGGATGTCTATTTAAAAAATCTATAATTAAGACAAAGAAAATACCTATAATTGGGACAGGTTAGAAAGGGAAGTACATGAATAATCACAACCTCAGCAGAGGAGTTTACATGTATTAAAATGCTGCTAAAAATTATAATAGCAGTGGTTTAAAGAGTCTATATTCACTTTGTGGAGATAAAAAGTAACCATGTTGCAGTTAAAGACAAAGACATGAAAAACACCAATTAATCCAGTGGAACCAAATAAACTATTCTTGAGCATTTATAACAATAATTCTAACTACAAAGTATAGGTCAATATTATTTATGTTCAACTATTTCTTTAGCATATAAATTAAAAGCCAGATTAAATAAAAAGCAAAGGAAAAATCAGATTTTCTATCAAAGCCTGATACATATTTTTGTATATGGTCCTTGGAAAACCACACTTATTTCATTTTTATTTTGGTTATTAAAATACCAGAGCTAAACATACCTGGCTATGTAACTCTCACCATATGTTTTTCTCTTGCTTGTAAGGACACCTGAGGCAGGATTTCGTGCCAAATTAGGTGGTGTGGAATTTCGAGGTTTGATGTTAGTGCTAGAAAGGGAAAAATGTGGCAATGAAAAAATATTGAATAATAATCATTTTATTTCTCAAATTGCTATTTGCATGATTAGAAAAATAATGAGAAACTGTAGACAGATTAAATAAAAAGATTAAAATTATTTTAAAATGCAAAACAATGGCAGTTAAAATTAAAGATAAACCAAAGCATTCTGCATTTATTAACATTCTCTTGATGATCTATAAAATCAATTAAAATATGTATATATGCTTTACATGAAATGTTTAAGTTAATCATTCTGAAAATCTCCAAGTTATCTATAGTTTAATATTGTCAGTTCCCTTAAAATAAAGATGCGGTTTGTTAAATGCCTATAAATAATTGTTATGTAATATATTAAGCATATGAGATGTGATTAAAAAATAAATAGCTACCCACTTTAAACATTAGCTAGCTATTTTAAAAAGTAATATTCAATTTATGAAGGTCCATTGTGAGAAATATCTACTCAAATAAATAGGTTAATTAAATTTTCCCTTTAAAAACTTAACTTCACTAACTACACAGTCTGGGCTATCACAATCAGTAGTGAGAAAATTTTGGTTAGGACATCCTTGACTCCCTGAGACTTCAGGAATCCAAGGAAAGTTAGAGATCATATGACAGTTAATGGTGAAAGGACAGGCTCTGGGATGCAGATGAATCTGTATTCAAATCCCAACTGCTACAACCAACTTTGTTAACGTGGTCAACCTCTCGGAGACCAAAATGGGATCATCCTCGTTTATCTTATTGGATGTTACATGACATAAATTGCAATTTATATGAGCATTTAGCAATGCTACTGCCAATAATACTATTATTATTACTATGGCTATTGCTGCTACTACAAATTCACATTTATGTAATGGTGCGTACTATATTTCTATTGCCATATTTCTAATTATTTTCTTATAAATAAGTGCATTTATATATACCTTATTAAATGTATTTAATCCTCAGAATACCCCTATGCTGTAGGTAGAATTAATGACTGCACTTTACAAATGAGACAACTTAGGCAGAGTGGCTAAGTGACTTACCAAAGTGGCACAGCCAAGTGCATTGCTGAAGCAGCGGCAGGATGTTCAGTAAAGTATTAGTTCCTGCCCCCTCTTTAGAGATTTACCGAATCTTTTCATTTCAGAGATAAGCATTGTTATAATGTATAAACAAGCAGAATGCTTTTCAAATTTCCTTTAGATAGAAAGTTCTTAAACTTTGGCTAAAATTCTTCTTTGTTTACTTATATAGTAAAGTTGAAGAGATTTTCCTAAAATTTCAAATAGCTACCATGAAAATAATGTAGGTAATACATCTACTATTTCTCAAAGAACACTGCATGCTAAATACAATACATATGTAACTTTAATCTTTACAAAAATCTTCAATTATTCCCATTTTAAAGTTGAAGAAATTCATAGGCAGAGAAATTAAATAATTTGCACAATGATTACATGATTAACTTGAATTTAGGTATTACAAAACTTATGTTTAATATGCAATATTGTCATTCAGAGAGAAGCTGCTTTGAATAGTTACTTTAAATTATTTCTAAACTTCAACAAAAATCACCTTTCACCTTGGTACACAGATGATATCAATGACATCATATGGCCCTCAAATAGTCACTGCAAGTCCATCTATGAGGTGTATTCTACTCTGCTATTAGATTGCCCCTCTAGGGATGCTGCAGAACTGCTACTGTGCCTTTTTAGGAATTTAATTTCTAAAAAATCATTGCCAATAAATGGCAATTCCTCCAGTGAGAGTCGTAAGAGAAATAGAAAGGACGCATTTTTTATACTTTGGCTCTGGAAACAAGTCTTGTAAAAAATTCTATCACTTCCATATAATGTGTGCATGAGATATACAGGTAATACAAATCCACTCCTGCGAGCACATGCACAAGAACACACAGACACTCACACACAAAAGTTCATCATATCAATGCTTTAAAGTTATTTAAATAATTAGGAAAAAATTAGAGTAAAAAATAAGATTATAAATAATAACTGCCATATTAAATGCCAATCACGTATTTTTGGTAACATCTGAAAGGCAAAATCTGAATGTTAAGAACCATCCTCGGATTCTGGGAAGAATTATCTCGATCAGCACTTGACACATGTTGCCCAGCCTCACATGGTCAAATCAGCCGGCTATATCCAGTTTCAGCAGTTATGAAGGAAGGTTTAATTTTGAAATTGCACTCAATCTAGCTAGTCAGTGTTTCTTCAAGATCTGCTTCAGCGCCTACAGATAGCAGTAGTACGAAGAAAACTGGTTTAGGGCAGATTCTTCCTTCTTGGGTTTATCATTAACTGCTTAAAGGTAACTCAAGGCTGCTGGCTGCTAATATCTTCAAGACATCCTCCATCTTTATTTCATTGTATATCTAAATGTATTACTTTTCATACCTGGTAAGAGAATATATGATAGTAGACCTTGGTTTAACATTTATCTAAGTGAATTCTATCTAATAACATATTTTTCAACTTTAATGAGTAATTTATTTTATTAGGCCCTAATTTCATAATGTTAAGAGGGCTAGACTTGTTTCGTAGCCCAAACTAGTAACCCTTGAAGGCTATGTGGAAGAGTTTCAAAAGTGACTTTCACATCCTTTTTCTGTTTTATGTGAAATTCATAACCATGTAACAAAAAGACTGAGGTCCCTACATGAAATTTTCTCTAAAATCGTTTTTTCAGGCCTTAGCTGGTTTGGCTCAGTGGATAGAGCATCAGTCTGTGGACTGAAAGGACCTGGGTTCAATTCTAGCCAAAGGTACATGCCTGATTGCAGGCTCGATCCCCAGTAAAGGGCGTGCAGGAGGCAGCCAATCAATGATTCTCTCTCATGATTGATGTTTCTATTTCTCTCTCCCTCTCCATTCCTCTTTGAAATCAATAAAAATATATTTGAAAAATAAAACGATAAAATTATTTTTCTGCCTTTTTATAACAATTCAACACCTATTTAACTCAAAGATAATCTAGTAATTTATTATATACATGGCACAATATTCCCTATATTCTTCTTTTCAAAAATATTACTCCTACAAAAAAATAACTACTGAAGGTAACTGCTTTTTCAACCTCTATAAATTAAAAAGTAATGGAATAAAATGTATGCTCTAAAAACAGCTTTAGAACAATAGAAATGTTCACCAAAAATCAAGCTGTTTAAAGTCCTATATATAGCACTCTGTGGCTTAAAAATCATTAAAATAAGATTTTTTTTTTTAAGTATAGGCATGTACAAGTTTACAGTAATCAGTATAAAAAGCTTTTAAGGAAATATCTGAAATAGATTAACCAAACTGAGTTACAAATACTTACTTGTAAATGGGTAATAACTCATGTCTTTTGATGGCACTGTCTGATTTTGTGTCACTGTCATACAACCTTTGCACATGTCTTCCAGTTCGAAGTGGAGGGCCTAACTTGTCCATTTTACTATTAAAATATATAAAGGTGTACCCATAAGGAGATTGCTATGTTTGTTTCTTTATATAAATTTTTTAAAGGCATTATTCTGGTTCATCAGAATCCAATCCCCTAGTTCTTAGTTATCTGACAGCCAGGTAGGGATTAATGTGACATCTTCAGATAGATCACACAATGCCCATGAGTAGATTATTAAAATTCTGACCATGCAGGCCACGTTGCCAGTTTTGATGACTAGCCAAAGAAATGCCACATTTGTGCACAGCAGGGCAATGAAATTAATGAAGATGATTAAGACAACAACTGTTTCAAATAAAATTTGTGAAGTTAGACAATAACTGAAAGTTATTATTCTAATAAATAAGACAGATCTCCTTATTCTTATGGCGCTCCCAAATAACCTCACTTTTTACCTTCCATAAATTTATAGAACCTCTCTCTTGTTTTCTTCTTTACTATTTTATTTTATAAATTACAAATTTAAAAATTACAAATATAAACTAAGAAATCAAATAAATATGTATATCTTTATCCAACTTGACTTTCTAACAAAGAATGACAGTCTTAAAAATTTAGCCAGAGAAAAGTAAAAATGATCCTATGTGAAAACAGGGGGTAGCAATTGAATAATGACATGTGAAAATGTAAAGTGACCTGGCCAATGTGGCTCAGTGGTTGAGCGTCAATCTATGAACCAGGTCACAGCTCTATCCCCAGTAGGAGGTGGCTGATCAATGATTCTTTCTCATCAATGATGTTTCTATCTCTCTCTTCCTTTCTTAAATAATATATATACATTTTTTTTAAAGAAAAAAGTGGCCATGCCAGAAATGCAAAGGGTCCCCATCTAGAAGGCAGTAGAGGAATTGCTGGTTTGTAGATATTTCATTGTTTTACATCAACCAAATAACCGAATAGTATACTATCACCAACCAATCTGCATCATAGTAGGGAACAGGGGAAATTATGAAATTAGGAGAACTACCTTAAATGCCCACTGAATAACACCTCACTGCTTATTAACTTTAAAAGTACACTCTTTTTAAGGAATGCTTGTTTGCTCATTCATTCTTCCAAATATTCACTGACAGTACAAATCCTGAGCATCTATATGTGTCAGGCACTGTGCTACATTCTGGGGATATCATGGTAAGTAAGAGAGATTTGATGCTTGTTCTTATAGAGTTTTGTGTCTGAAAAAAAAATAATAATCTCTTCATTTTTCTAGATTATAAGGGTCTCTAAGGAGGGACATATTTTATCGATTTTTAAGTTCTTTTACTATCCTGTACTTAGGGAAAATATTAATACTCTTATATTAATACTCTGCAGGTGGTGATGTTTACATTACTTAAAACATTTTAAAGTTTTTTAAAAATTGCCTTCATTAAATATATATTAAACAAAATTTCTAAAATACTGAAGATTAACTTTGAAGGTTTATTTTATTTGTGAAAGATGATTGGAAAGGTTACCTATTTAGAACTTAAACTAACAAATCAGAATTTTCTTTGAATTGTTTTAACAATTATCAAAACATTAG